AAACGCGTCCCACGGGCAAGTACCAGGGCACAGACTAACAATCTCATTGGACTTTTAAATGCAGCGCCCCTCATTTCTCACGTTGCATCAGAGAAATTCGATGCATCAACATTTTCTTCTTTAACCTAAATATCTCTTGCCGCTTAACGACCAGATGTATCCAGATCTTTCTTCTTTCCTCCTTTCTTTCTTCGTTATCACGCTGTGCTCGGCGCAGCCCCGATTTCGTTAAGTAAACGATTACGACCGGAGTAATTATTTAACTCCTTTTTATAGAGTGTTTCCTGCGTTTTTCCTATTTCACGTATACCATGCATTATTAAACCATGTTTATTGATAAATTCTTTTGTCCGATATATGCATCCACATGTATAAATCGTATTCTAATCTTGCATTAAATTGAACAAATTAATTATTCAAATCTCTCAAATCTATATTAGCCGCGAGAATTAAATGGAAATTTCACGATACTGTTTTATCATGACACATTCGTTTGTTACGAACAGATTTATAGAATTTATAGGAGATAAATGCTATAAGGAAACATATGGGCATTCAGATGAGGAGACGTAGAGATTATTTTAATTATCGGTCTATATCGCGCAAAAAAAATTCGCCCCAACTTAACAATAACTTCGTATCTCTTTCTCTCAAGTAGATATGACAAATGCAGAATTTCCGTGTGTTTTTGCTTCACATGATACCCGTGTGTAATTCCATTGTTATGCACACGGGTTCACGTGCCACGTGTATCCTAGTACACGTTCAAAACCACGATCTTCAGTTTTATCTAGCTTCTCGTTCCCTTCTTTTTTCTCTCTCTCTCTCTCTCTCTCTCTTTCTCCTCTTTTGCCCGCTCGTCTACCATCTTGGCCCAGTTCGCGGCTGAAAAATGCAGATAGTTGAAGCGTGCTCTTGGGACGATGCAAAGATGCGTTGCTTTCACAACCGAGCTTCCGTTCGACCCCACGATCGTCGAAAAATCATCCATCTCCAGGCAACCTGTTCTCATCGATTCCCCTCCTCCACCACTTTCTCGTTGCATTCGATTCCGCGATATTTCTCCCTCAAGTTTCCGGCATTATTCTTCGGCAGACATTTTTGAAGCATTGCTATTCATTCTTGGATAAAATTCGCGGTGATCTCTCTCGCTACATATTTATTATCACGGTCTGGTTCATCCTTCCTCCTATTTTGATTATTTTCATCACTTCGATTATTTCAGTCGATCATACCCGACGACGACGACGACGTGGTTGAAGGATTAATTAATTCCTTATGCTGGAATTCCAGTTCATGGTAGTCGAAGAAGAAAGAAAATTGAAATTCTGTTCCATTGAAAATATAGATGGAGAAGTTTTTAACGTTTATTAACAAAACGAGAGTTTATTGAAAAACGTGCAATCGAAATAGATGCTAAATCTCATCGATTTCTTCCTTTAAGTATGGAAGTTATGATCGGTGTGAAATGAAATTCATCTTACAATGTAAATTTAATCATCAGAGTGATTTTTATTCTATTCGTGATGATATTTTGCAGATTATTTAATGGATGTCTGAATTTAAATTTCAAAAAATTTACGAATATAATGGTTAATAAATAAAATAATATATGTAATTTATAATATATTATTGTTAATAGTATATTATATTGTTAAGATATTATTAATAATTGAAAATATTTCAATGTAAAGTAGTTATTTATTGAAAACTATTTAGTAAGTTCAGTACAGTTTATTCATTGTACAGTTATGTACTTAAATTATGATACATATGCAACGTATCCGCGCGAGCAACGAAGCCGGGGAATAGTTTCAGTGGAAATTAATTTACAGCAGATTTCCATTTCGAGATTACTTTGACTTACTGTTATTCCGTGGTCTTGATTTTTACTTGCGGCACAATTCCCGGAGAATGTTTCCTTCTCGGCCGCAGACAAGCTGTTCTTTTATTTAGTATCACGATACTCTCAGGCGGAATTAAAAAATAATTTTCCCTCGTGAGATATTCTCCGCTCGAGCTACAGCGATTCTTTTTCTCCTCCTTTTGCCACCCCCTTGACTCTCCTTCCGTGTCTTCGGCTCACCTCCTGCTCGTAATTTTTCTTACCTCGCTTTGAACAATCACCTCCAAAAAATAAATGAATACGAGAACTTTCGCGATTCTAATTACGATGGAATTTCAGCTGCTACTTTCAAAGAGTTGGATAACTAATACTGTACCAAAAAAAAAAAAAAAAAAAAAAAA